GCCGTACCGCGCGCGCGCCGTCGAGCGCCGCGCGCGCGAACGCGGCGCGCATCGCAGGCAGGTCCACCGCGAACCCCGCGCTGCCGCCGGCGCCGAAGTTCGCCCGCACCTCCTCCTGCTGGGTGCGCAGGCCCACTGTTGGGAACAACCGCTGCTCGCTGACGTGGCGGAAGGCCACCCCCAGGTCGACGCCGTTTTTGAAGAAGCTGATCGTGGCGGCCGCGCGGTCGAGCAGCGCCCCGATCACGTCCCCCTGTCTGATTCGCGGCCGGCGCGTGGGACGGCGGTGCATGAGAGGGCGGCAGCCTTCGAGGCCGCGCATGTGGGCACCGGCGCCGAGGGGAACTGCGGTTGTCTGTGCGTGAGGCCACGCGGCGAGACGTGCGTGCCGCGCACGCAAGCGGCGTGCGCCCTGCCCCGATATGCCCCTTCAACTCACACAACCGACCACTCCCCTAACACACCTTCCCCACACACGCACGCCCTACACACACACACACACACACACACACACACACACACACACACGCGCGCGCGCGCGCACACGCACATGCATACGCACACGCACACGCACACACGCTCTCTAAACACGCGCGCGCAAGCACATCAACACACACTCGCACGCTGCAAATCATACACACACACGTCGTGCACAGCATACACAGCGCGACTCGCCTGCGTGTACTTGGGGCCGTACTCGCGCCCCTGCCCGCTGCCGTGGAATGCGCAGCCGTCATCTCCATGGTATCCATAGGAGTGCGGCTCCCACCCCGGCAGCCGATCCGGTTTTACGTCATCGGTCGCAAACCCGACGCCTGCGCGCAGAAGGGTGACGCGTTTGCGCGCAGACGCGGCGGCGGCGGCGGCGGCTGCTGGGTGAGAGGATTGCGCGCTGGTCCCCAACAAGGGGCCCGCCCTGACCCGCGACGGGAGCCCCTTTAAGAGCACCCGGGCGCAGCCCCGCCGCGGCGGCAGGCCCGGCGTGCCGGCAGGGGCGCGTGCGCGCTTCCCCAATTTCTGCAACGAACGCAGGGTGCGCCGCGGCCAGGACCCCGCTCGTCCGGGTGCCACGGGCTCGCACCGACGTAGCCCTCAGCGCCGCGGTTGACAATGAGGACTTCGAAATAGTACAGCGGCACGTCTGGCGGCACGGGGTTGTCCGACCGCACGGCCGCCGCCTGCGAGTCGTCCTGGCCGGGGCCGACGTACTTTACTGACAGCCCCTCGACTTTAAGGTATTGCTGGAGGACCTGGGGGTGCGGGAGGGGCGTTGGGCATGGAGGTTTGCGCATGGGGGAGTGCAAGGGTTCGCCTGCATGGGTGTGGGGCATGGGGGCGCGGAAAGGCGGACCAGAGAGGGGGCAGGCGGGGTGCTGCCGCTGTCGGGTGTGCGGAGGCCGTGGGGGGCGCGCGAGGGGGCGGGGGCGGCCAGCCTGCTGCCGCGGTTGCGGGCTCGCACGTGGGCATGGGCGGGCGAGCTGTGCGAAAAGCGGCCGCGCGGCAGCGGCGGGCCGGCGCG